GGGGTGAGGGGGACACTGGGGGTGGTGGAGGGCAAAGTGGGGGTGGAGGGGATGTTGAGGGGGTTGGGAGCGGTGGAGGAGGGGAAGGGACTGGAGAAGTCAGAAGCGGTGATGGCAGCTTTGCCTCTTCCTTTTCTGTGGTCAGCATCATCTCTTCCTCAGCTACAGTTCTTTCTTCCTTCTCACCACTCTCCTCATTGTCTTTTTCTTCTTCTCTCTTTTCTTTTCTCTCCTCCTCCAGCTTCTGCTCCTGCTTCTTCCAGCAAGGGCCCCCTCCCTGTCCAGATCCAACTCTTCCTTGAGGGGCCTCCTGCCAACTTTCCTCATGTTGACCTTGACCCTGACCTGATTCAAGTCCCAAGGACAATTGTCCCATCTTCATTTTTTTGGCCTTTGAAACAAACTTGATCACGAGGGGGAGTCCGCCTCGGCCTCGGCCCCTGCCTCCACGGCCTCCTCGCCCAGACTGTCCTCCACGCTTGGGGGTCCCAGGTCCCGGGCCAGGCCCCTCCTTGCACTTCCAGCTGCCAGTTCGGTGTTTTACTGGAATCACAGGAGGTGGGGGCTCAGGTTTGGGGATTGTCACAGCTGCTTCTGCCACCACTACTGCTTGTTGCTTTTTCCTGCAGGGGCCTGCTGGCCGTCCTGGGGGCCGTCCCCGAGACCGCCGGGGGGTGGAGAGCTCACATGCCCGGCTTCGGGGGGCTGGGGGTGCCTGGGCCCGCCGGAGAAGTTCAGTCAGTGCCTGCACCATCCGTTCTGTGCCCTCCTCGCCCCGTTTCCGGGCAGGGGTCTTTGGGGGGGTAGAAGCCACATCTGCTAGGCGAGGAGGAAGGGGGGTCGTCTTATGCTTGCGGCCCCGACCTCGGGGGGCTCGACCTAAAAGGAGAATAGGTGTGGGGAGATGGATCAAGCTGGCCCTGCAGACTGAGGAAGGTGCTCCAGGAGGGCAGAGACTAAGCCTTACTTGTCTGTTTCCCCCACTGCCCAGCCTCGTTTGGACTCTGAACACAGAACACACTCAGTAACTGAGGGAGACTAGCTGAACAGGGAAGAGCTGACACAAAGGGTGCGAACAACATTCCTGAAAAGCTACAGAGGTAGAGTTCCCCGGTCACTCACCTCGCTGGGATCGGAGCGCAGAGCGCAGGGAACTGGGGGCCACATCTTCATCTGAATGAAAACCCTGAAACTCCTGATTTAGGGGACCAAGGGTGGAGGGGAGAAACAGCAGTCAGTGCCAAAGCCCTCATTCCATACCTCTGACTCAGGTATCGAGGAATATCCCCAGCTTCCCCCTTAAAGTACCTCTGCCTATTTGTAAAAGAAATGAACAGACTCAAAGGTCAGAGGGGAACAGAAAGCAGGGTCTCTTCCCAGGAACAGAGGCTCAAAGTATTTGGAACCCCCATCCCAAGTGGCAGACCACACCAGCACAGCCATCATTGGTTCGCTGGCCCAGAAGAGAACAAACAGTCTCCTCAAGTAAGGCAGCGGGCCCTATCCTTAGATTCCTTAGTAGTCCAACTCAGAAAAACAGTGGGACCTCCATTTACAACCTTTCAGGCCACAGTTTCTTTCTGCATGAAGTTGGGAATAGGGGCACCCAAGCTGGTTTGCATGTGGGGAGAGGAGTGGAGGACATCAAGTGGCTTATATTATGATCCACTCTGAGTCCTCAAATGGTTGTTAACTGTCCTAAGTCATACGGTCCACATCTTCCTGCCCTTTCTGATGGGCAGAGAAATAAATCTTGAACTGGAATGAGACATGTCAGAGAGCCCAGTCTCAGCCTTCATTCCACTGCTCTCCAAGCCATGGCCCAAAAAGAAGCCCTCCAGCACCTTCCATCAGGAGCAGAATTGGGGCACTGGTGAAACCAGGTAGGTGACGAGGCCCAGCAAGTCTGCCTACGGGTCTACGAGTAAGAGCCCAGACAGCTCCAGTCTCTGTCCACCAAAGCCACGCTGCTGCTGTCAACCACCACTGGCTGGCCATGCAGTCTCCACTGCCTCCCCACCCAAACCTCTACAGTGCCCTAGCCGTGCCAGCTCTCAAAAAGGATCAGACCAGAACACTTCAGCAGGACCTGTCTCGGGCCCAAGTGATTAGCTGCAGCCAGGGCTTCTCTACCCACTTCCAAAGGCCCTTTCCACCGAGAGCTTCATGCAGCCTACCCGTGCCTGGCCTGTTCCGGGGCCCCTCCTCCCCCCAAATCCCCAAGGACCCCACTTGCCCATGCCACCCCTCGGAGCAATCCGAACCCCTGGAAGCCCCTGGCCTCCGCCCCGCCCGGCGCTGGAGACGCCTCCGACCGTCTCACCTCATCGTCGGATTCCCCGTCACTGCTGTCCTCCTCCGGCATGCAGC